TAGTTAGCAAGAGAAAAAATAAAAATAATAAGGATTTTTTAAATGTCATAAGTCCACAAGCATAGGAAAATGGGGGCTAGGAAGATGGCTCAGTGGTAGAGCATTTGCCTTGCAGGCATGAGGCCCTGGGTTCGATTCCTCAGCACCACATAAGCAGAAAAAAAAGCCGGAAGTGGTGCTATGGTTCAAGTGGTAGCGGGCTAGCCATGAGCTGAAGAGCTGAGGGACAGCGCCCAGGCCCAGAGTTCAGGCCCCATGACTGGACCAAAAAAAGAATAGGAAAATGGTAGAAGCTATCAAAATTTTTTCGAGGCAGAAAACCTAGTAAACCTGAGAAAGCCTTATTTTAAGGGGAGAAAGCTATAAGCCAGTTGAATTTGTATTGGTGAGTCTTCAAAAGGCTAGGATTATTGTAAAACTGTTGAAAGTGGAAGGAGAGGAACAAGGCTGAGATGAGGAGAGCCACCTAAATACTGTTTAAGCAGTTCATGTACAGGTCTCCTCCTTCGCCCTACCACTGTGCTAACACCTTTCTCCCTGCTGACAAATAGTGGACTAGTATATTCTCAGTGTCTAATCTGTGGATACCAGGTGTATTGAAGGTAAAGGGGCATTAAATGAGCCATCACTATTATTTAGAATGTTGAGAGCCCCCATCCCGTTTCCACTATTGGCTCCAAAATTGACAACTAGATTTTACATACATATATTATACTCTTGTCAGATTAATCTCATCTATTGCTCTCTTCTCATTCTCCCAACTTTCCTATTGTTCAGGTACTTTCAGTAGCTTTCAATGAGTTTCCTTATGCTGTCTTCAAACATAGACAACATGTATTTCAATATTATTTGTCCCCTATCACTTTCCCTCTCCCCATCTCCTATCTCCCCAGCCTCACAATTTTATATATATTCACATGCATGTATAAATAAATATCTTTTAAGTATACATTCAACAAGTGAGTGAATACATTTGATATTTGACTTTTTGAGCTTCTCTTAACCCATACAATGTAATCTTCTACTATCTAAAACTTCTCTGATCTTCTCTGTCTACTTTCCTGCAAATAATTTAATGTCATTGTTCTTTTGGGCTTTCATACCATCTTATCATATATTGAAGGAGTCTAAATCAATATTCAAGAGCAGTACCTGAATATCCATGTTTATCCTAACAGTAGAATCAACCCAGATGCCCAACAATTGTTGAATAGATCAAGAAAATATGGTACATATATACCATGCAATGTTTCAATTCATTGATGTCATACTTTTCTCAAACTACATTTGAAATTTTCTCTTTGTATTTAAGTTTGGCTCTGGCTTACTAGTGTGATTTTCTCTATATTTATTATGAGTATGGCTCACTAATAGTTGGATCTGATGGTTTGTTTTTTACATTTTGGAAATTTTCAACTATTTTTCCTCCTAAATACTATTTCTGTCTCATTCTCTTCCTCCTCTCCATCCGAGAATCTATTCACGTTTGATTTTGTCAACAAGTCACAGAGGTTGTGTTCTTTTCTTTTCCCTTCTGTTCTGAGTATCTTCTTTTTTTTTTTTTTACTTAAAGTTCACTGACCTCTTTTTCTGTCATCTCTTACTTACTTTTAAGTTTAGCCAGTGAATTTTTTAATGTGATACTTAATTACCTTTTGAATTTTCCTGTATTTTTTTTGGGGGGGGGTCCGGTCATGGCGCCTGAACTCTGGGCCTGGGCGCTGTCCCTCAGCTCTTCAGCTCAAGGAAGCACTCTACCACTTGAGCCACAGCGCCACTTCTGGCTTTTTTCTTTTTGCTTATGTGGTGCTGAGGAATCGAATCCAGGGCCTCATGCATGCAAGGCAAGTGCTTTACCACGGAGCCACCTTCCCAGCCCCAGAATTTTCCTGTATTTTTAAGAGTTCTTGCTGTCAGTATTTTTCAACTGTCAGTCTTGAAAAATAATTCAGTAATTGCTTTAGGATCTTTGTCAAAGAGTTCCAATATCAAAATCACAAAGTATGTCTCTATTGAGTACTTTTTCTCCTAATATTTAATTACATTTTCTAACTTTGTTGCATGTTTAATTACTTTCACTATATACTTGACAATGGTCGATGATATTGTGGATAGTAACTTTTTGTGAAGTGTGTCAATTTTTATTTTAGTAGACAACTAAATTACTGGTAACATCTCCATTCCATGTAGTAATAAAAATGAATGAATTATCAGGTGCCTAGGGGCTCATGCCTATAATCCTAACTACTCATGATGTTGAGATCTGAAAATCAGAGATTCTTATTGATCAACAAAAAGCTGAAAGTGATGTAGCTCCAATAGCACTCACCAATCATCAGCAGAAGAGTCCCAGTTCAAGCCTTCAATGCAGGCAATGCCCACCCCCCTTCCCCAGAAGAAAAGTATTGGACTATTGCAACACACAAGTTAGGTGCATCACCAGGACATTAAGTGAAAAAAGCCAATCTAAAAAGTATTCCCTATTGCATGGTTCAATTTATGGTCCATTCTCAAAAATGACAAATCACCCAAATAGAGGACAGGAAAGTGGTTGCCTAGAGTTAAAGAAATAAGAAAATATATGATTATAAGAAGCAAGAGGGAATTTATGGTGACAGTGCAGTTTGGGATCTCAAGTGTGGTGTAGTTACAACCATTTGTTGCTTAACAAGGACACATTCAAGGAATTGCATCATTAGATGATTTTGTCCTTGTACAAAAAGTGTGCTGCTACTAACTAGGATGGGTATGAATCAATAGGCAGCATACTTTAGGGGATTGCATCATACATGCAGTCTGTCTCTGTCTGAAACATCATTATGTGGCACATAACTGGTATGAAACAGTACATGTGCTAAAATGTCATAGAAATAGAAACAAATACATATGTTTTTTCAAATGCAGGTAGATGCAAATCCTGGCAAAGTTCAGGTAGGGTCTGAAGTATAGATAATTACACCACTCAATTTCTAGCTTTCTGTTTCCTCTGAACTACATTTGCTAATTGAAGCCAGTTAGACTGTGATTTTCTTTTACTTGTTGTTGTTCTTCTTCTTCTTTAGGTTTTGCATCCTAGCACTTAAGGAAAATATTGGAAATAGTTCCCTTAGGAGAAAGTCTTAAAAGCACTTATCTCATTTAGTAGGGATCCTTTGTTTCAGTGATCAGATCGATATTTTTGCCTGCTTTCATCACTTTTCATTGTGAAATAGTTGCTCTTTAAAGTTTTTTGTGGGGCTGGGAAGGTGGCTCAGTGGTAGAGTGCTTGCCGTGCCTGCATGAGGCCCTGGGTTTGGTTCCTCAGAACCAGTTAAACAGAAAAAGCCAGAAATGGCACTGTGGCACAAGTGGTAGAGCGCTAGCTTTGAGCTGAAGAGCTGAGGGACAGCTCGCAGGCCGAGTTCAGGCCCCACAACCGACAAAAAAAAAAAAAAGACAACGTTTTTTGTGTTTGTTCTGTGCGTGCGTGCATGTGTTCTTGTGTGTTCGTGTGTGTGTGTGTGTGTGTGTGTGTGTGTGTGTGTGTTGATGCCATTCCTGAGTCTAGAAATCAGGCCCTGAGCGCTGTCCTGAGCTTCTTTGGCTCAAAGCTAGCACCTTATGGCTTGAGCCACTGCTCTGTGTGAGAAAAAGTCTTTTCTATCAAAGTGTGTGGCTTAAAAGTTATTGTTCTTGGGGCTGGGAAGATGGCTCAGTGGTAGAGCGCTTGCCTTGCATGCCTGAGGCCCTGGGTTCGATTCCTCAGCACCACATAAGCAAAAAGAAAAAAGCCGGAGTGGCGCTGTGGCTCAAGTGGTAGAGCGCTAGCCTTGAGCTGAAGAGCTGAGGGACAGCACCCAGGCCCAGAGTTCAGGCCCCACGTCCGGACCCAAAAAAAAAAAAAAAAGTTATTGTTCTTGCAGAGTGGTTTGGCTTTTGTTTAGGAAAAGAGGAACCACTTTGGGATAAGGGATTTTTGAAATCAAGATTTTGTCTTAAACTGGTTTATCTTCAAGATGGAATTACGACACACCCCAGACTGTTCAAGAAATAGCCAAGAGTGTGGGTACATTGTGAGATTGTGAACTGTTAATCTTATTTCAAAATCACCGAATGTAAATACATTGTACTCTAATTAAACTAGCCAATTATGAGCAGATTATAAACCTGAGCTCAACCAATGTGAGCAGAAGGGCAGAGCCTACTGCGTTAGGGATAAATACCAAAGCAGACTGCCTGCTCTGTGTGCTTGCTTCCCAGATTTTTGGCTGATGGTGTACCCTTCTGTGCAGAAGTAAATTTTGCTTTGCTGAGACAATTCTTTATTTTTATATCTATCATTGGGACTTTCGTGGTTCTTGGTCAGCTTCTTTTTGCTGGTTAATTAGAGAGAAGAGTCACAGATTTTTAAGTATTATGAATCTTAAAGTGTATGAATTATTTCAGTAAACAAACTAAAAGTAAAATGTTACAGTAATTTACATAATAGATGGGACTTATATAAATTAAAGAATGAAATGATAACTGAAAACATGAACAAACAGATTTTATCTGTAATAAGAAACAGAAACATAAATGCAGCCAGAAAAAAAGTTTAAAGACCTATAAATAGGTCTTTTAGAAGTTGAAGGGCAGTGTTTGCTTCGGCAGCACATATACTAAAATTGGAACGATACAGAGAAGATTAGCATGGCCCCTGTGCAAGGATGACACGCAAATTCGTGAAGCATTCCATATTTTTATGTAATTGTAACTCCTCTGTATGGTATTTTCATAATAAAAAAAAAGTTGAAGCGCAAGTATAATTATGTGTTACTTAAGCTGCAAGCATTCTCAAATAGGAGTCCGCAGAAAGGACTTCAGCTGTATAGTCAGGACTGTATTTTTGAAATATTTTTGCATTTGGCCCTAAAAGTTGTTTTTTATTTTATTTACTACCATTCCTGATCTGTGTCATTTCTTAAAGAGTAAGTTGGCAGTCTAACCTTTTGGCTTTTATTTTTTCTTCTCATTTATTCTAGTTATTTGTATACTTGATCTTAAATGAGGTAAGAGTGAAGAAACTCAGAACCATCTCTGGACAACATCATTACCCTATCTCCCTGCCAAACCTGCCCTCTGGAACACTAGATTTCACCATATCTTTTTGGGACTCATTATGAACAAAGACATCTCCCAGGTAGGAAATGTAATTTGTTTAAAAAAAAAAAAACAACTTTGTCTCTGCAGAAGTGTGAAGGGAAAATGCCCATTGAGTTTTATTTTTTTTTTTTTAAGGAAATAATGTGTTGGTTTGGGAAGCATCAAGGTACTAAAACAAATACTGACATTCCTAAGCGAAAGTGTTAGGCAAGTTCTAGGTTCTACTTCATGAATCATTTTGAGGTAAATTGGAACCACAATAGGCTTCAGGTTTTATATCTTATAGTGAGACTCTCAAATCCTTACTGCATTTAAAGTGACTCAGAAGACTCTACTGTACTCCCAGTTGCGGTGGCTCATACCTGTAATCCCAGCTACTCTGGAGACAAAGATTGAGAGGATTCCAGTTCCAGGCCAGCTTGGACAAAAAGCTAGCAAGATTGAATCTGTAGGAAAGTGAAGGAAGGGGTGGTGATGTACAAGAAGAATTGTACTCATTACCTAACTTATGGAATTGTAACCTCCCTATATGACCCCCCTCTTAATAATAACAGTAAAATTGTATTGATAAAATTTTAAAAAGTTAGCAAGATCTCATCTCCACAAATAAGCTGGGTGTGGTAGAATGGGCCTGTGATCCCAGATACCTGGGAGGTGGAGATAGGAGGATGAAGGTCCAAAGCTGGTACAAGGAAAAACATGAGGTCCTATCCATAAAATAACTAACGAAAAAAGGTTTGTGGGCATGACTCATGTGGTCAAGCACTTGTGTACCAAGCTCAAGCTCTGAGTTTAAACTCCAGTACTGCCAAGAAAAGGAAAAAGAAAATTATACTAAACTGTCCCTTCATTTAGTTCAAATATACAGCTAGTCATTCATTCCCCTCTCCCCCTTCTCTCCTCTCATTCCTCTGGGATTTCATTCTGTAGTCCTGGTTGATCTTGAACACAGGGCTCTCTTACCTCAGCCTCCCAAATTCTAGAATTATGAGCATGTACCACTATGCCTGTCTTGCAGAAGTGTTTTATTGAAGAAGCAAATCATGAAAATTGAGGCTATATTGCTGGCTTTTTCTTTAACCCATTATTTATGGGACCTGGAATTAATTATATAACTTAAAGCATATCTAAGCTGAATCTGGATCGAGTGAACCTAGGATTGATTTCTGACTCTATCATGTAAGATATTGAACAGATTTAGTCATCACGGTGCCTCAGGTTCCTTGTCTCTAAAATGGACTATAATACTACCTACATCATATTTTATGAATATGAATGAGTTAAGGTTTATAAGTAAATGATTTAATAGATGTTTACAATAGTGATTGTTGTATGTTAGTCTTTACCATCATCTTCATGGGATCATAGCTTATTAGTCCTATAAAACTGTTGATATGGAGACAATGCACTGTTGATAGGCTGTAAGTGCACTAATACAGATAAAACACATACTAATTCTAGCACATGGGAGGATGAGTTGGGAGGATCTAGACTTGTCTAGTGAGTTCAAGGTCACCCTTAGCTATATTCTGAGATCCTCTCATCTCAAATTCGTGTGTGTGTGTGTGTACGCGCGCGCGTGTGCGCGCGCGTGTTGGTGTCCGCATGTGTTGGTACTGGGGCTTGAACTTGGCCTGAATACTGTGCCTAGCTTTTTTGCTAATGGTAGGAGCTCTACTACTTGAGACATATCTCTCTTCTGGCTTTTTGCTGGTTAATTGGAAATACAAATCTCAAGGTTTTGTCTGCCTGGGCTGGCTTCAAACCTCTATCTACAGATCTCCACCTCCTGAGTACGTAGGATTATTGGCAGGAGCTACCAGCATACAGCTGAAATGGTATACTCTCCAATTTAAAAGTTAAGCATTTTATAATTGATCTATTTTTTTTCCACGGTTGTTCTGAAAACTCTCAAAATTGACATTCCAGTGTCACTTCAGTAGGATTTAGTCAGTTGGCCATTACATTGAAAGAGATATAGCTATATAAATTAATATCAGCATCAAAGAGATGCTGGTGCTGTTTGCCAGATATTCACATGAAATGCTTTGGGAGAGGTTTTCTTTTTTGTGTTTTTGTTTGTTTGTTTTGATTTTTCAGTCGGTTTTGATTTTTCAGTTGGTATCAAGGTTTTTGCTGGTAGAAATTAATCAAATAGATGATTTGGGCTTTATGCTAGCTTATTAAAAATGCCTGTAATTCTAGCATACAAAAGGTAGAGGCCATAGAATCAGAGTTCCAAACCTTGTGTTGACTAAATAGTGAGACATTTTAAATGTATTATTAAAGTTGTTTAATTGGACTGATTTTTCAAATTATGCAGTTCTCCACTAAGTCTGAGAGATGAATGACAGATTTCCTATGTAGAAAATTTTAATTCGTTTGAATTTAAAAGTACTGTCCTATTTCTTCAGCCTCCACCTGTTTGGTTTAGTATGGTACATTTGAACAGAAATAGATGTGGTTTCCAGTTCCTAAAACTACTCTCTAGGGATTGCTTGAGATTGGATATTGAGCAACACTTTAAGTCAATGGGATACTTTTACTTAGAAACTGCACCTCTTTTGAAAAGGTGATATGCAAATTGGTTTCCTGAAGCCAACATTTCTGTTGTTAATGATCCCTTCTTAAATACTGACCTGCTGAATACAAAGCCATTTCACATAAACACAACAGCTCTAATAGTTTGTCTCTTGGAGGTTTCTCATTGCACTGTTTATTGTGTTTGGAAATAGAAAGCAGTTAATACTATGATCATATCATCAGCCAACAGTTGGTTACTTTTACCATGGGTCTTTGACTGTTTGGCTCCTATTTTGGTAGATCAGTTTGTATGATGGTGGTTGGTTATCTGTTGTCTTTTCAACCCCAGAATTTTATATTAATTTAGGAGAAATAAAACTACAGCTAGGTTAGAAAAATATGGCAGTTTTGACCCAGAGTTGTTACTCAAAAGTATCCAATCTGTGAGAATGTTGGCTTTGTGTCTGCAGTAGTGTCAACTGTCGAAAGTTGTTTCTCTAAAATAGTAGATCTTGCCAGATGCTGGTGGCTCATGCCTGTAATCCTAGCTACTCAGGAGGCTGATATCTGTGGATCAAGTATGCCAGCCCAGGCAGGAAACCTCATTAGACTCTCATCTCCATTAATCATAGAAAAAGCCAGAAGTGATGCTGTGGCTCAAGTGGTAGAGTGCTAGCCTTGAGCAAATGGAGCCCAGGGACAGTGCTCTGGCCCAGAGTTCAAGCCCCAGGACTGGCAAAAAAAAAAACAAAAAACAAAAGAAAAAAGAAATAAAAGCAGGCATTTACCCTTTCAAAATTAGAAGATATATCTCCCAATTTCTAGACCAAGACAGATAGGTATATCTTTTTTTTTAACTTTGTCTTATTTTTGTTGAAACAAATGGGAAGAGAGATTTTATGAAAGTTTATGTTTCCTAAGTATAGGGATGAATTTCATAGCTTTATGAAAAGTTCTGGAATGAAAATTTATATTTAAAAAAAGTTCTAGAAAATAGATTACCATAAAAACCTTAATTACCATAAAAACCTTAATTAACCTTTAAAAAAATCTTAAGTGTACTAGTGCGATAAGCAAATCAGTTGTCATTTATTTAGCTACTAAATCTCTTAAGCATTAAATTATTAGGTATTAGGTATTGAGTTCAGTCTAGAAGAGGAGACAAAGGAAATATAACATATCACATTGTTATAAAAATATACACCCAGAGCTGGGAATGTGGCTTAGTAGTCAAGTGCTTCCCTGGAATGCATGAAGCGCTGGGGGTTCGATTCCTCTGTACCACATGAACAGAAAAAGCCAGAAGTGGCGCTGTGGCTCAAGTGGTAGGGTGCTAGCCTTGAGCACAGACATGCTCAAAGATTGTATGCAGACCCTAAGTTCAAGCCCCAGGACACACACACACATTCTCTCTCTCTCTCTCTCTCTCTCTCTCTCTCTCTCTCTCACACACACACACACGCACACACACACACACACACACACACACACACACACACACACACACAGAGCTGGGCCTTGATAGCTCACACCTGTGAAGGACATTGGACATTGATATCCTATATGTAATTAGGATTTAGTAAAGGCTTTTAAACAAGAGATTGAGATGATCAGACATACCTTCCATAGCCTATTCTAGTGGCTGTGCAGTGAATATGTTTAAGGAAGACAAGAATGAAAATAGGGAGTCTATTTGGGAAACTATTTTAATAACCCAGTAAGAGATGAAAATCTTAATTTATCAACATGATAAAGGAGTATATATGGAATTGGGGCTTTAGGAAGTAAAATAGGACAAATCCTGGTGTTTGCTTGTATTCAGAATGTGACAAGATGCTAGAAAGACTCAAAGCACCAACAGACAAAAAAAAATACATGAGAAGATAAATATTTGGTTTTACTGAGGCTTGAAGATAGGACCTTGCTCTTGTTAGTTCTACTTCCTAAACCACACAACCACACCTTCAGCCCTTTTTGCCCTGGTAGGTTTTGATAATGGGGTCTCATTTTTTTGCCTGGGCTGGCCTGCACTGCCATCTTCTTATTTATACTTTCCACATAGCTGAGATGGCCAATGCACACTACAACACTGGGCTATTGGTTGAGATGTTGACCTTATGAGCTTGTTCCTCAGGATTATCTCAAAGCTCAATGTTATCCATCTCTTCTTCCTGAGTATTATAAGCATGAGCCACCATTCCCATCTGCCCAAGGGCAGGCAGATTGTATTAAACCTGGACTTGAACAAATCTTTCTGTCCCTAATGCAGTAATTTTATCTGCCATGCTTTAGTAGGGGGATTCATTTGATTTTCATCAAGAAAATGATATCTAGAAAATGACAATGAGTTGAGCACTAGTGGCTCACACTTGTAATCCTAACTATTTAGGACATTGAGATCTGAGGTTTGAGGTTCAAAGCCAGCCCAGATAGGAAAGTCCATGGGACTCTTATCTCCATTTAACCACAAAAAGCTGGAAGTGGCACTGTGGCTTAAGTGGTAGAGCTCTAGTCTTGAGCACAAAAGCTCAGGGACAGCACCCAGGTTCAGAGTAAAAGCCCCAGGACTGGCCAAAAAAATGAAAAAAGACATTGGAATAAGAGTAGAAGTGAAAATGACTCGAATTGAGAAACATTAATCTAGAATGAGATGTTTAGTTCCAGCCTTGGATCATAACTGTATCTGAAACTGAAGAAGGAGACAGTTCTTCTTAAGGAAGCGTTATCAAACATGAGTACTTACTAGTTAGAAAGAAAAAGTGAAGGAGAAAAAATAATTTTAAAAAATTGCAAGATTGTCATCCTCACTGTTGGATATCTTCACAAATTATACTTCTAAAATGGAGATATTGGAAATGTGCCTTGTCAGTTGAGTAAAATAATCATGAGTTTATGATTAAAGTTTTTGGAATTATTTGCACACTGAGAGTATATGACAATCTTTTGTCTCAGAAGAGAGCAAGAAGTGAGTTTTAGGCTACAAAAAGGATTTACTCAGATACATTAGTGAATGCATATGAGAGAAGCTAATCTCAGCATTTTTTATAATAAGCACTCCACTGCTGTAATTGTTTAAAACTTGGAGTTTAGAGGAAAGCCTGAAGTTTTGCATTTAACCAGAATTTCCTCTCCTTTGGTGAGGGAGAATGGAGTAAAAGGAAAGTGTAGAATGTATTGTTCTGGGAGTATTTAAGTTCCAAAAGTAATGATGTGTTTAAGACTAAGCAGGGTTATGAATTGTATGTGGTTGATAAGGGACAGATCAGAAGGGATCTTTAAGTGCAGTCACTAACTGGCACCACGAGTGAAAGACCTGGCTTGCATGCTGGGAATGACGTTGTGTTCTCTGGCATCTATACCAAGGTCCTAACATAGACCAAACATTTGATCTTTGTCTCTTGATTACATAAACACAAGGTTATGTAGTATGGAATTCAAAGTAGAAAGTATAATTCAGAATCAAAATCTAGTTTATCATTTTAACTTTAATTGTATATATGTATTGTTTATTTTTCTCTCTGTAAAATTCCATATTTAAAATCTTTCTGTAAAGAAATGTCTGAATAGTAAATTTTAAAAATTACCTGAATTTAGCTTTTGTGTTCATACTTAGTCTATTCTTTTTTAAAAAAATTATAAATTATCTTTAAGTAGTTGTACAAAGGGGTTTAAATTAATTCAGCATGAGTTCATGAGAACAATGCATCTTGATCAATGTCACTCCATTCATAATTCCCCCACATTAGCCTATTTATTTTCATCCTAACTGATCACAACAATATCATAGGGGACTAATAATTTCATTTTATGAACTTAGAAAAGTATTGGAACAATGAGTAGATGATGACCCTTGTGGTTTTATATAGATGCTAATGCATTTATGATGCTTGTAATCAAGAATTCATTGTTTAGAAATTTTGGCTATGTTTAGAAACATGAGGGACTTCCCCTCCCTTTGTTTGGCTGCAAGGGTCACAAGGTAGCTTTCTTACTCTTATCCTTCCTTTTTAGGTGTGAAGTTTTTCATCATGAGCGGCCTCGGGGACAGTTCATCCGACCCTGTAAACCCAGACTCACATAAGAGAAAAGGATCGCCATGTGACACACTGGCGTCAAGGTAGGAACACTATTCTGAGTCTATTTCTGGCAGAGCTTGTTGCTGCCACTTTGGAGCTTTTGTTTCCTCTTCTCCCAGTTTCGTGGCCTTTCTTTCTTTTTTTTTTTTTGCTGGTCATGGGGCCTGGACGCTGTCCCTCAGCTCTTTAGCTCAAAGGTAGCACCCTACCACTTAAGCCACAGCACCACCTCAGGCTTTTTCTGCTTATGTGATGCTGAGGAATTGAGCCCAGACCTCATGCATGCAGGGCAAGCACTCTACCACTGAGCCACCTTTCCAGCTCATGGTGGCCTTTCTTAAGGTCCCACGTACTCACCAATATCTCATTCTTCCCCCAAGGGCTCTGCATATTCCTCCCTCCTCCAGCTTGCTTCCTCTTGATTTCCTATAATCAACACTTAAGTATTTTCTAGAAACCAGCTTAATCATACTTCTTTAAATGGAACCTTCTCTTCCACAACTATTAGATCAAATCTCCCTCATTCATGTTTCTGTCCTACAGATATTTTTATGTCTCTGATCCATAAATATAGATTGTTATTAGTTTATGTGATTATTTCATGAATTCTTCTCCTCTCAACTATATTATAAGCTGTTATTTGGTAAAGTGCATAGCATAATGCATGGCTTATCTACACTATAATAGGAACAAAGTGAATATTTGTCAAATGAATTAATCAATGCATTAACATATTTAAATATTATCTTAAGTATTAATAAATATATTGTTATATCAGTGCTCAGGGCTAGCTCTCTACCACTTGAGCCACAGTGCCACTTCCAGCTTTTTCAGAGTAGTTTATTGGAGATAAGAGTCTCCTGGACTTTCCTGCCTGGGCTGGCTTTGAACCTTGATCCTCAGATCACTGCTCCCTGAGTAGCTCAGATTATAGGTGTGAACCACCAACACCCTGCTATGTCAGGAATTTTTTAAATGATGATTTTGGAGTTAGATATTTTATATATTAGAATATATGAACATATTAAATAGGATAAAAAGAAAGTTATTGGTAAAGAGACTGTAAGAAACCAGATTCCTAGAGAAGGAACTTCAACCAGGTGAAAAGTGCAGCTTCTCACCTGAGAGGAATAGGGATTCACTGTCTAGGAGTGAGACCAAGTTTTCTTGCTCAACACTATTGATATATTGAGCCAGAAAATCCTTTGTTATTTATTATAGGATATTTATAACATTTCTAAATATAAGTATTCCTTCTTCTCCACTAAAAGCCAGTAGCATCCTAGTTGTAATAACCAAAAATGTTTGCCATTATTGCTAGATGTTCCCCCAGGGACAGGAGAAAATCACCCTCAGTTGATAGTCATTATACTAGAGAGTGAAGCTGTAAAAACTCTTCCATTGGTTAGATGCTTCTTTCCTATGAGAGAAAAAGTAAAAGGCTTTATAGGAACTTATAGGATTATGGTTTAAGTCAGCCTAAACAGAAAAGTTTTTGAGACCTTACTCACCCATTAAAAGCTGGGCATTGCCAAGGTGCCAGTGGCTCACGCCTGTAATCTTAGCTACTCAGAAGGCTGAGATCTGATGATCATGTTTGAAGCCAGCCCAGGTAGAAAAGTACATGAGACTCTTTATCACCAATAAATTACTTAGAAAATTCCAGAAGTGGCACTGTGGCTCAAGTGGTAGAATTCTAGCCTTGAGCATAAGAGGCTCAGGGATAACACCCAGGCCTGAGTTCAAGCCCAGAACGGACAAATAAATAAATAAATAAGTAAAGCTGGACATGCTGGTTTGTGCCTGTTATCCTAGCTGTTCAAGAAATATTAATAAAGGATGGTCCAAGTATGAGAACCCAATTTGGGGAAAAAAGGGTTGGGCATGTGGCTTAAGTGGTAGAGTACCTGTCTAGCAAGGACAGGCCTTGATTTCAAACCATAGTACTGAAAAAAATCAATTTTTAAACCCATTGGTTGAAAACGTTTTTAAAGTAATAACAGGTATCATTTATTGAACCAGTATATATGCCAGGAACTCTGAAAAGCATTTTATGTGTATCATCTTTTTTTAATCCTCACAAAAGCGTAGGAGGTAATTAATGTCATTATCCCAATTTTACAGGTCACAAAATTGAAGAGAAGCATCTAGAGGTCAAGTTGCTGTTGAATTTTCTAGGGTTGAATGGCATATCTGCCATAGATGGTAATAAAAAAGATTTAGTAAGTTGGGCACCAGTGGCTCACAACTGTAATCCTAGCTACTCAGGAGACTGAGATCTGAGGATGGAAGCCAACCTAAGCAGGAAAGTCTGTGGGACTCTTATCTCCAATTAACCACTAGAAAACCAGAAATGGCATTTTGGCTCAAAGTGGTAAACCACTGCTAGTCTTGAGCAGTAAAACTCAGGGACAGCACTCAGGTCCTGAGTTCAAGCCCTACAACTGACAAAAGACTTAGTAAATAAAGCCTTCTTTCAATTATGGTAGATATTTTTTGTCATTCCCATTTTTTTCTTTCAATTTTGGTTTTGTTTGAGCATGTCTTTTGCTATTGTCTCTATGTAAATATTGGCTGCTGTTATTTGTTGTTGTTTTTCATGGAAGGGATTCAGTACTGGTATTTGAACTTTACTTATTTAGTTTGCTTCCTTGACTGGCTCTTTACCAATTGAGCCATGCCTTTAGCCCCACTCTTTTGCTGGTTATTTTGGAATGATGGGGTCTCATGGACTTTTTTACCCAAGCTGGCTATAAACCACAATCCTCTAGATCCTAAGTAGATTCCTAAGTAGCTAGGATTACAGGCATGAGCCATCAGTGCCTAGAGTGGCTGCTTTATTTTGTGGGGGGTTTTCCCCACTTAGTCTCAAACTCTAGTCACTTTGTAGATGACCTTATCATTTATTATATATGGCTTCTTGTTCCAACTTCTGTCTTCAGTGTGGTGCTTTTCTTTAACTCTACAGAGTTTTTAATAAAAAGCATTTTCATATTAAATAAAACAGAGCAAAAACATATATGGATTGTAGGTGTTTCAGCACATACCTGTAATCTCTACACTCAGAAGAAACAAGGAGATCAAGAGTTCTAGACTAGCCTGAGTTAAATACTGAGACCCTTTCTCTAAAAACATACTTAGGAGTTTTCACAACGTAAATACAAATACTTAGGTTGAAATTTATATCCTTAGATTTAAACAGATCATGCTCTATATACTTAATAAATCTTGTAGTGGTTGGGTTCTGAAAGGTAAAATCACATGTCCTCAACATATCAGGTTGCAAAGCTAAAACCTTTAACATATCAAAATGTATGTTCCTCATTTGAGTCATGGCTCGCTTTCAGTGCCTTGGTGTGAAATTTGTCATAATATCTTGCTAATAAGTTCTTGCTGTGAAAGTTGTAAGGTATAATTTTAACTAAATAAAATGAGAATAATTCCCCAAATGTGAAAGATAAAGACAGAATATATGATTGTGGTATGTTTTGATGGTATTTGAACTCAGAGCCTTGGATTTGCTAGACAGGTGTTCTATCACTTGAGTCACATCCTCAACCATTTTGCTTTAGTTCTTTTTTTTTTGGGTCCGGTGGTGGGGCCTGAACTCTGGGCCTGGGCGCTGTCCTTCAGCTCTTCAGCTCAAGGCTAGCGCTCTACTACTTGAGCCACAGCGCCACTTCCGGCTTTTTTCTGTTTGCTTATGTGGTGCTGAGGAATCGAACCCAGGGCCTCGAGCATGCAAGGCAAGCGCTCTACCACTGAGCCACCTTCCCAGCCCTGCTTTAGTTCTTTTTGAACAGGCCACACAGTCTTGGGTCATGATTCTCATATTTATACTTACCTCATAGCTGATGACAGGTACATGCCTACATACCCAGCCCTGTTTTTTGTGCTGGCACTGGGACTTGAACTCAGGGCCTCATATTCTCCTTTAACATTTTTGTTTACGGCTGGCAGTCTACAACTTGAGCCACACCTCTGGCACTTTTTTGCTTTTTATGTTTTTGGATAGGGTCTCACATTTCAAGGTCTGGCCCAAGACAGTAATGGTTGGTGGCTTGGATTTTAAGTGTGCACCCTGTATCTGGCTTATTGATTGAAATCAGGGTCTCACTGTTCTTTTTTTCTTTTCTTTTTTTGTCTTTTTTTTTTGGTGGGGTGGGGATACAGGTTGTCCTCAAACCTGTATCCTCCCAATATACCCAGTAGGTAAGATTACACACTGTTGCATCTGGTCTTCATTTGCAAGCTTTTTAACAACTGATCTTTCCTTCTTCTGACGTCTTTTTTTCCTCTCACTTTTATATGCAAGCAAAGGGTTTTAATTCTGCTTATAAAACAGAGACCAGTTTGTGACCACTTTATCCTAAATGTTGTGATAATAAAAAATTTCAAAGTAATGTGCCATATAAAGCACATGGCCTAAGAACTTGGTTAAATAAACCAGATGTAAAATCTAGAATAAAAAAATAAACAATAATTATTCTACATTTCAGTATATATGTATATATGTAATATATATATCATACATATTATACATATATGTATTATAGATGTGAGCCATTGGTGGCTCATATCATTAATACTGGTTACTCAGTAGACTGATACCTGAGAGTCCTTGTTCAAAGCCAGCCCAGTTAGATAAATCTGAAACTCTTAATTAACCAGCAAAAATCTGAAAGTGAGGCATGACTCAAATAGTAGACCACCAGCCCTAGTGGAAAATACTAAACAAGAGCTCAAGGCCCTGAGTTCAAGCCCCAATACACTCTCTCCCCAGAAAAAAAAAAGTGCTAGTTATATGAACTATTATCCTTTTTTTCTTATTATGCTGCTTTAAGATTATTCAAGCTTGATTTTATTACATTAATAAGAACTTGTAAGTAGAATTTTTCCTATTTTTAGGACAAAACTGTATACTATTTTTCTCTGTACTTTTGCTCTGATTATTGTTCTTTTTTTTTTTTTACAGTTATAGAGTTCTTTTTTTTTATTCTCTGTTGTAGTAGGACAGTCTATATATTTCTTTTTTTATTGTGAAAATACTGTATAATTACATGGGCAAGAGAATGAGTACATTTTTTATCAAGCATTGTAGGCTCCTCCTTTGTTTCCCCTTCCCTATTGTTCTTTTTTTAAATTTTACTTTTGTACAGTAGTTTTTTTCTTTGTGATGAAGACTATCATAGTCTAATCAAGAATGGAGAATTTATCAGATTTCTCATTACAGCTATTGAGCTCTTGCACAGTCTGCCATACTTAATTAGTAATAAAGTTTTGAAAATTCAGATTTCGATTCAAATTTTCATTCAAAGCAGTTGTTTCTAACATACATTAATGCCAAATGCAGCTAGTACATTTACTGTTGGCTTCTTTGGTATATATGAATCACTTCCTATTTGAAAATACTCAATGTATATAAAGCATCAGGCAAACACATCCATTATAACATTCATTTACTTTTATGGTTCTTGTTTGTTTTGGTTATTTTTGCAGTTCTGGGATTGAACCCTTGGTGTAAACTTGCTAGGCAAGTACTTTAACATTTGAGCCATATACCACTTGGTATATTTTAGCCCTTCACTTTGTATATTTTAGCCATAATTATTTTCTGCGTCTTGGTATTTTGTAGTGCTGTTTTAGATATGAATTTTAAATTTGTTTTTGTAATTTTTTGGATTTTTTTGTTTGCAGTTTGGTTATTTTTTCAGCCTTGATGTTTGAATTCAGGGCCTCACAGAGCCATGCCCCTAGCTAGATCTGCTTTAGTTTTTTTCAGATGTGGTCTTGTATTTTTGCCTAGAACTGGCATCAAACCAGGATCTTCTTACTGGTATCTCCCATGTTGCTGGTATACAGATATGAGTCACCACACTCAACTTGGTTTTATATTTTCAATAAAAATAAGGACTTCTCTAAATGGGTAAACATTAAATGGTCAGAGAAGAATATCAACATGATATACACATGCACTAACTAGATTTTTCTTTGTATAATAGCACTGAAAAGAGACGCAGGGAACAAGAAAATAAATATTTAGAAGAGCTAGCTGAATTACTATCTGCCAACATCAGTGACATTGACAGCTTGAGTGTAAAACCAGACAAATGCAAAATTTTGAAGAAAACAGTCGATCAGATACAGCTAATGAAGAGAATGGAACAAGGTAAGAAGTCTGCTGTTTCTGTTGTTAAAAGATTCCTAATGGGGCTGGGAAGTTGGCTCAGTGGTAGAGCGCTTGCCTTGCATGCCTGAGGCCCTGGGTTCGATTCCTCAGCACCATATAAGCAAAAAGAAAAAGAAAAAAAAAGATTCCTAATATGCCATTCTACTCTTATTGTTATGAAGCTGCATTGAATTAATCATTTTATTACATAATTTTTTTTATTTAGATGGTACTTACTTTACCAAATTGGAGAGTCTACCCCCATCTCCTTTTTTTTGTCAGTTGTAGAGCTTGAACTCTGGGCCTGGGCACTGTCCCCAAGCTCTTCAGCTCAAGGCTAGTGCTCTACCACTTTGAGCCACAACACCACTTCTGGTTTTCTGGTGGTTAATTGGAGATAAGAGTCTCACAGGCTTTCCTTCATAGACTGTTTTTGAACTGCGATCCTCAGATCTCAGCCTCCTGAGTAGCTATGATTACAGGTGTGAGCCCAGTGCTGGGCTGAGAGTCTTGTAACAAAGTAGCCAAGTCACCTTGACAGCTAGTTGTCTGGGGAAGTTAGGAAGCCCAGTGACTTAGAGACTGAGGCAGGAGACACAGTTGTAGGGCCATCTGCAGTCTGGCACAGGTTGAAGGAAGATTTTTGAAGTTGATACTTACATTTAGTGGGAACCCCTCACCACTACACTCCTGGGCTGCCTACCAGAAACATATGTAAAGCACTTAGAAGGAACTCTTCCACAACCTGGCCCACAAAATGCCACATGAAACTTCTACTGTGGCTGGTTTTACACTAAAACTTCTTAACATGAGGAAATTACCCATGGCAGTTAGGAACACAAATACCAAAAGGAGGAGTAGACCTCAAAGAACTTTCAATTAAAAGTAATGGCAAACAGACTATACATGAATATGCTTAAAACCATGTAAGTTGTATAATTTAAAGCTTTCAGAAGCTAGAAAGTAGTCTGGTGACAACCAACTTAGCAAACAAGAGAAACCAAGGCTACAGACACATAGTCTGGCCCCTGCCTGGCCCGTAGCCATGAAGAAGTAGGATTCCTCCACAGAAGCTGACAGTCTGAGAGGAAAGATACTCAGAGATGATCTTAAGTAAAAACATGGCTTCTTATGGGCATTTTAGTACCTTTTTTTTTTCATTTGTTTTTGGTGTTTAAACACATTGCCTTGTGCTTTCTAGGTTGGTGTTCTGCCACTTGAGCCATGTCTGCAGCCCTTTTTTGCTTTACTTACTTTTTGGGTAAAGTCTTAACATTTTTGCCCAGGCTAGGGATCAGATTGTGATACTTTAGCCTACAAAGCTGGATCACCACTGTATACCACCACACCAAGCTTACAGGCTCAGACACAGGCCTCACTAACTTTTCTATCTAGGCTGGCCTCAAACTGCAATCCTCCCAGTCTTCACCTCCCAAGTAGCTTGGATTACAGGTGTGTACCACCACACCAGGCCTTTAATACCTAGTAACTCACTTTATTATTATTTTTTTGATGGGGGAGTGTGTTCTAGGATTTAGGTGGTTGTGGGGCTTGAACTCAAGGCCTGGGCACTATCCTTGATCTCTTCTGTTCGAGGCTAGTGTTTTACCTCTTTGAGCCACAGTGCCACTTCTTGTGTTCTAGGATTTAAACTTAGGGCCTGGACATTATCCTTGAGTTTTTGCTTTTCTTTTTGTTCAAGGATACCACTCTTATCAGTTCAGCCACATCTTTATAACCAGCTATTTTGTTAGTTTAGTGGAGATAAGGGTCTCAGGAGCTGGTGCACTGGTAGTTCATACCTGTAATCCTAGCTACTGTAGAGGCTGAGATCTGAGGATCATGGTTTGAAGCCATCCTGGGCAGGAAAGTCTGTGAAACAGTTATCTCCAGTTAACCACCAGAAAACCAGAAGTAGAGCTGTGGCTCAAAGTGGTAGAGTGCTAGCCTTGAGTGTAAAAAGCTCAATGCCAGGACCTGAGTTCAAGCCCTACAACCAACCAAAAACAAAACAAAACAAAAAACAGTCTCACAAACTTTATTGCTCAATCTACTGTCATACCATGATCCTTAGATCATCCTCTGGCCACAGGTGCTCAGCTATATCTCTTTTTTTTTTTGGTCAGTCATGGGGCTTGAACTTGGGCCTGAGTGTTGTCCCTCAGCTCTTCAGCTCAAGGCTAGTGCTCTACACTTGAGCCACAGCACCACTTCTGGTTTTCTGGTGGTTTATTGGAGATAAAAGCTCACAGACTTTCCTGCCTAGTCTGGCTTTGAACTGTGATCCTCAGATCTCAGCCTCCTGAGTAGCTAGGGTTATAGGCATGAACCATTGGCGTCCATCTTGTATCTCACTCTTCAGTGTGAACAAAACCCTAAGAATTTTTAGGTAGCCTATAATACAAAAGAAAACTGGCAAAGCAAATAAAAGGAGCTCAAATGAAACCAACAATGCAGGAAACAGGAAAAAAACAACAACTTATCCCTGGCTCACTTCTCCACATCTCCCAGCTGACAAAAAGGGAGGAAAAAAAACAGGAAGTAATGCCTTCTTCCTATTACCAAGATCAAAAAAGTATACTTCATTTCTTTTTTTACATTGCTTAGCCAGACAGTATCAGATAATTTTAATTTTTCCTAAATACTGTATTTTTTTATGTGTTGTAACTTATCTACATAAACTTCATAATTTTTGTTTTTTACAACTTGCTTCAAAAACAAAAATCTTCCTGTTTCAGTGACATAAATTTGTGGCCTTTATGGAAATGAGCGTGTTTAGGAATATGTGATTTTTTTTTTATTACAGAGAAATCAACAACTGATGATGATGTACAGAAATCAGATATCTCATCAAGCAGTCAAGGAGTAATAGAAAAGGAATCTTTAGGACCTCTTCTTCTGGAGGTAAGTATCCTCATTGACCCCAAATTAAAAGTCTTTGTTCTTGCCAATTTGGCTTTTTCTACATCCTCATTTATATCTTGTATTTCATTATTGTGTTAACAGCAGAATTTGCAATAACTTTTTTTTTCCAGTCCTGGGGCTTGAACTCAGGGCCGGGTACGGAGCTTCTTTTTTTGCCCAAGGTTAGTACTGTACCACTAGAGCCACAGCACAACTTCTGGCTTTTTCTGTTTATGTGGTACCGAACCCAGGACTTTACCATTAAGTCACATTCACAGTCTGCGAGAACTTTTTATAATTTTTTTTACTATATAAAACTTTGATAATTATTATTTCAGAATTAAATGTAAATAAATGAACATAAGTAATTTTTATAATGTATTCAAAGTTGTCAGATGGAAAGCAATTCTACTCCATTGTCTTGTGTTTTGCTTGTATTTTGGGGATGATTAGAGCATGCTGGGGGAAAAAATATCAGAATTATTAGCTAGCTCGTACTATGCTAATACTGCAGAATTTCACCTGTGGGTGAAAGGTACCTCACTTTATTGGAGTAGGTATTGTCCAGAAAGGTTCCTGAGTACTTTGAATTGTTTCTATACGCTTCATAAGAGTGTTACTATCAGTTGGGTACCAGTGGTTCACGACTAGTGACTCAGGAGGCTGAGATTACTGAGGATTACTGTTCAAAGCCAGCCTGGACATGAAAGGCCATGAGACTCTTTTTTTTTTTTTCTTTTTCAACGTTTTTTTTTTTTTTTTTTGGTCCGGTAG